CCCCAAGGAAGTAAATGCATTCACCGTTCCACCCGAAGCTCCCCAACACCCCTTGGGGAGTTCATCTCCTCCCATACCCAGTCCACATAGTTGGAGACCTTTGTGTAGACTCCATATACTTGCTTGCTACCACATTCTTCAGGTCCTCCCCAGGACACCAGGCCTTGGGCCACCCAGTGCTGGTTCAACTCATCGAAGATGACGAAGGCCCCACCACTATCTCCAAGGCATGTGTCCTTGCCGCCCTCATAGTAGCCAGCACAGAACATGTTCTCTGTGACACTGTAGTTGCCTGAACGAGATTCATAGCTGGCTTTGCATTCAGCATGTGACACCACAGGCAATTTGACGTACTGTAGCACATCTGACAAGGTTCGCGTGCCACTGCTGATGATCTCATCCACTGTCACATTAGGATTAGAGATGCCCCAGCCAGCCACCAGCCCCAACATATGAGGGGCTGGACCTTCAGGCTCAGGTCTCGGTAGACAGATGGGCATGACGTGGGCTCCCAAGGGCACAGGCTCCTGCAGCTCTACCAGAGCTATGTCATGGTTGTAGTTCTGGATGTTGAAGTCTGGATGGAGGACTACTCGGGCAGCAGAGCTGTTGACGGCTCCTGATTTGTCCCGCACATCATGTAGACCCAGGAAGACGGTGACATGTTCCTTTGAGACAGGTATGACTGTGTTGTCTCTGCGCTGGGAGCGCAGCACGTGGGCTGCTGTGAGTATCCAGGATTCAGAGAGCAGGGCCCCACTGCCAAACCACTTGTCGTTAGGTACCCTGGATGTGTCCTCCACCACGATCAGGGCCTGCCACGGGAAGAGGCCGAGCTCAGCGTTCCGGCCTCCGATAATCCTCTTCACCAGGTTCGGCAGGGGCCGGGAGGGCTGCCCACACACTGCAAGAAGGAGGAGGCGGAAACAAGAGATGGGGACAGAGTCAAGCACATGGAAAGAACCAAGAGAAGTCCAATCTCACCCACTGTGGATTATGCCACCATGGAACCCTCACTAGCCTGAGTCCTGCAAGCTTTGGAGAGCTTAGCTGTGATTCAGTCACATCTAAATCTCTCTGAGTTGGCCGACGTCTAATTTGGACCTCCATAACCAGAGCCATTCCTGTACCAGATCGTTCTATATTTTGGCCTTGTCCAACCTGAGCCACTTCTGGCTAAACTGCTTTTGGACTGGACCGTGTTTGGCCATCATTAGCCGAGAACACTTTTACCCCTTCTTCTCTTGAAAGGCATCTTATCTCCCGGAAGCCATTTGCACTACGGGCACTCAGAGAACCTTCTGGCATTTTCTCTAGCTGGGCACAGAGAAATGGAGAGGGCCTCAACAGCCATCCAACAGACTATAGTAGTCAGATGTCAAGCTTCCAACTCCATAACTCCCCTTTATGAGCCATGGCAAGTTGTATGACTGCCAGAAGCTCAGTTTCCTCATCTGCAGAATGGGTGTGCTACTAGTGCTTATTTTATGAATTATGCAGCATGTGGCACAATTACTAAGTTCAGTGAGAATTTCATAGATTTCATGCCAGACCGAGATGCTTGGGTTCTTGACTTAACTTTTCCACTTTCCAAATGAACTAAGTTCGTACTTCTGTATTTCAACTTCTGAAAGATGATCTCCAAATTTTAAATTTCTTGGATTTTTTCTTATGTTTACTATGTCCACAATTTATACATGAATGTCATTGTCTAGAGGTTGAGGTTAGCCCAAGGTGACATGGTTATCACATCAAGTAAGCAGGGCCTAAACTAGATCATAAGATAAGAGTTTTCATCTGTATACTGCTTTATTACATATTAAGACCATGGCCATAGGCTTCTCTGGCCTAAAGGACTCACTGGTGTTTGTGTGTTAAGGCTCAGTGTGTACAGGGTAAGGAAAAGGTGGCATAATCCACAAGCAATGATGCATGCTCCCTGCTCAGGATCACCCATCATTGCACCCAGGGGTCCTGTAGTACCTTTAAGAGAGAAAACTTCGTTCCTTTGAGCTGCACCCCGAGCACACACATGTGTCACCAAACTCCCACAGCCAAACTTATGAGCAGAGGGTCTTCAGTAACAAGCCCTCACTGGCTATGAACGGACTCATACGGGCGTTTCCCGGGCAGAGTGTTAGAGGCTGGTGTGGGCGTGTGCATCCTGTTGCAATGGTCAGGCTATCCTCTTTGGCCCTGAGCATTTCTAACAATTCTTTAGAGACCAAGGAACATTTGGGTTCTCTTGTGACTTTGGGAGGGTAAACTTTCAACAGGCTAATGCTTTTCGGATGCTCTTCTTCCCAGTGCCAAATGCTTCTTCCACGATCCTGGGCCATCCTGTCTTTTATTCCAAACCAGACGTAAACAGACCTTCTAACCCGTTTTGGCCTGGGCTTTGAAGTTCAGGGCCAGTCTCTCATTACAAACGGCAGACAACAAGGTGACATTTCAAGGGGGGTCTGTGACCATAATCTGATGAGGGACAAAGAGACGACCCAGTCCGTGTCACAACGGAGCTCACGGCCAGCAACAAATGGTTCCTGTCCCCAACCAAGGTGCAAGTACATCCTGAGGTCACAGAAGGTTACAGCCCAAAGAATGTTAGAGAACAGCTAATTTATAGATCGAGAAACAAAGTTTCAGAGGAGGTTGTTTGCTCACAAATAATATCAAGAAAAGGAAATGCAGCCTGCTTTGCAAGACTAGCTTCATTTGCCAATTACAATGTTTTACTTCTGATGTACCTTTGATTTTTCAAGGGGTTTAAATGATGCAACAGGTCACTGGGGGAGTTCACTGAAATAGGACCTTCCTGCTCCTCCTCCCCACCCTCCTCCTCCCCACCCTCCTCCTCTTCGGCTTTGGCTTCAGCTTTTTAAGTAGGTGGGACTCCAGGTGTGCACCACCGAGCTCAGTGAAACTCAGCAGTTGGTGACAATGACCTCCGATTCCATGCTTAGAATCTTCCATGTTGGTCACAGTTACTCCCCTCCCAGTCTTCCCTTGGACAGAGAACGTTCTTGGAACGTTCAAAGTTTTGGCGATGCTGAAGTCAGATTAAAACAAAAAATAAAAATGGTGGGTACCGAAGGAAGTAGGCTCCTTAAAACAAACAGGTGGTGTTCTGGGATTCTCAATACCTTTGGATGAAATAAATTATGACCTGTCAAGGAAAGTGCAGCACTGCCCACGTAGACAGCAATGTTCCGAGTTATCTTGTAGGTCAGCCCCAACTCGAAAGGTGGCCTTGTAAAAGTCACCCCACCCATTTGATCCTTAGTTTTCATGTCAGAAAAAAAAGTAGTGAATCCTGACTGCTTATAGCCCTCCACCACAAAAGGGTAGTCACTGTGGTACTGGATGAAATGGTTTTGTCAAGTCTGGCTTACTACCCAGGCTTTCAGAAGGAAAGAATTTGGAAAGTTCTAGTGTGGTCTAATGATACATTATGATTCTGCCAGACTCTGCGTGTTAAAAGAATTTCATGACTCAGTGTATCCAAGCTGCTCTTTACAGAGTGGGACTGATGACCATTGAGAACCATAAAATGTCAGCCATTTCTTGGTCTTGCCCACTCATTTCTGAGGTATGGAATCCCATCCCCAGATAACATAATTTCTTACCAAAGACCCCACGGGGAAACAGCTGCAGCAGGCCTGCACCCAGCCCAGGATGTATTCCCCATCCAGACATCACACTGTGGCTTTCTAGGATGGGAACTGATTTTCAGTTTTCTTGGCCACATAATATTTTAGGAATACGGACATCTGAACCTCCAGCTTTTTACCGACCCACCATTCTGCTCTTTTTAAAGTCTTTCCCACTTGGAGTCCGTGAACGTGCTTGTGGCCAAGACAACTTGAGGTGAGTGGAATTGTTAAGAGTGTGAGTGGCATGGCCTCTTCCTTCTATACTGCCTCTGTCCCTTTCTGGTGTTCACCCCTCCGTTCCTGCACACGCATGTACCTTGAGTTCCCCTTGCTAGGAGGCCCAGTGTGCCTGTGATGGAACAGACTCAAATGCTGCTGTGCTCTTCATGTCCTGAGGATTAATCTCAGAAAGCTCCTTAGCCTGGTGTTTTAATGTGTAACTCAATATTTAGAAGCCCACTAAATGAACACCAAGGGTTACTAACATGTGTCATGAATAAAGTACACTATCTCAGTTTGCCCAACATATTCATTCAGCAAAAAAAAAAAAAAAAAAAAAAAAAAAAAGCCACCATATGCAAAGCTGCTGTTCATGGAAATGTGCATGCTGAATCAGGAAGGGTGATAACATTTCAATGTTCTTCAATGCTGTCTTAAGTGCTGCATCATTTAATTGCTATTATTCTCGAATTTTAGAAATTAAAAGTGTATAAATTTTAGCATTGTATGTACTGAAGTTAATTTCTGTGGGTTGTGTTTAGCTCTACAGTGTGTAATCTTGAGCTATAATTTTCTAATTGTGCATAGCTGCATTGTGAGTCATGATGCAAAGCTAATCATCTATACTTTCAATGCCAAAGCAAGTTCCCCAACATCTATATTCATCCTGACACCTCTTGTTACCTCAAAGTTCGCTTTCCACTTTAAAGCAGGGCCAGTAGATGAGACATGGAGGAGGCAGAATCAGATCTACTTGTGCACATAACTCTTTTTGGGCTCAATAGCACATTATAGTTATCTTCTTTAGGGGCTGGTGCATGCCCAAGGACAGGGTGTCCATTTTCGTGATTTCCCCAGCACAACACAAGGTGCACACACAAATTGCTTTGGCTGAAAAACCTAGTGGGAAAGGACTGGAGTTGAACAGCAAAGAGATCCGAGGCTTCTGAGATCTTAAAGCAGGCCGAGTATGGACACTGGTTAGTTTGAGAAGAGGTGGGGCTAGACTTTTCTGACCTTTAACCTTCTGATGACATCACTTCAAAAACAAAGCCTTTCCTTCTCAACTTGACATTAACAGACCTCGCGTGGGATACTGTGAGACAGAGGACTCAGTGAGTGAGGTACCTGGAAGGCAGGTGGGCAGGCTTCTCTTGAGCACTTCATTCGTCCAGGCCCCGTGTGCAGAACACGTATATACACCTTTGTGAGGGAAAGGAGCGGAGAAAGAAAATGATTACGTGGAACACCCGGGAAACAGGCCTGGGCTCTCAATTGCTCTAACATGGATCACGGCAGCTTTTCAGGGTCTCTCTGAGTCAGTCGTCTCTGAGACCTGAAGAAGCTGTCTCTTCAGCTCCGAATTACTGTCCTCAGAAGCAAACACCGTACTCCTCAGCATGGCTCCAGAAGCCCTGCCAGTCTAACCCTGCCTGCCTGAGGGCAGTCTGTGCTCTTCTCTCTACTCCTGGGCCTTGGCAGGTGTCTCTCGTGGGTCACAGGACCTTTGTTCATCCAGCTCTGTCAGCACACATGCTCCTCTCTCCCTTCTTTGAGCTCTTTAATGAGGCATATCTGTGTCCCCCACCCAATGTGGGCCTGACAATAGCCGCGTGAACTACAGCACGATCCCTTATTTAAAGGTGAGCTTTGGAGACGTAGAGGAACTAAGGGACTGTCCTCGGTGCTCACATGCAGAGGGGAGGCTTTCTTGTCTCCATGAGGGTTGGTTGTTTTTCTGCTGGAGACCAGGAGTGACTTTGAGGGTAATGGTGGTTTGAGTCCACAAGGACTCATTCTCGGGAGAAGTGGGGGCACATTTCTAATTATTTCTCCTATTTTCTCCCACACCTTCGCTGTGACCAACAGACTGGCTGTTGCTAGTCCTTCACCCCTGGCCTACATGCTGCCGCCTGACCCCGGGCCGAGCCAAGAATCTTGGCCAGAAACTATGCAGAGGCCTGGAGAGCAACAGCCGTGGTGGCTGTGTTTGGGTCTTGGTCTGGGACGTGTTGGATTTTCCACTGAAATGTGTCAATTGCTTCTCTTTCTCTCAGCCCATCTGACCTCTGAGTGAGACATGTCTCTGAAGAAAACCCCACAGGGGTGCTACAACTCTACTGGGTGGCTTTGGTCTGGTCAACCCCAAGAGGAGGCAGAGACAGTGGGGTCAGCCCCAGTGGCCATTTTCTAGAAATCCTAGCTCTACCTCAGACACATGAGGGAATTAACTTTGGCAGAGTCCAGACTTCCTTGAGAGGCTCAATTAGTCTCTGAATTTTGTCATGGACACATTCTTCATGTTCCACCACAGGCTCTGTATTTTACTAGAATCTTTTCAGAATTCCAAGTTAAAGGGGCGAACACCTTGGCTTTGGTCCGGGGACTATTGAAGTGTGTCTAAACGGACCTATCACCTTGAGCACATGGGGAGCAAGGGTCAAATGGTGTGCCTAATGGGACGTGACACTTGGATCACAAGGCTTTGCACATGGCTAGGCAGCCCCTCCTCCCTAGAGCTGTTTCAAGCCCCCGCCCGAGGCCCAGGAAGTGTGAGGTACAGTAGACGTGGAGGGCTTACCTGTGATATTGTGAAGCATCTTGTAATAGGGCTGCCGGCAGGAGTATCTTATCTCGGATTTGTATGTCGTGAGGTTGTTTCTTGTGGAGAAGGTCACCAGTCCATGCTTCAACCCCGCTGGGACTCCGCAGTCTACAACTGAGAGAGAAGAAGAGAGACCCCCTTAGCTACCGTTTGTTCTTCCTCTCGGGGTCACCAGGGCATCTATCTTCCTTTGATGTGCAGGTTATACACTACACCCAACTCCAGGGAGAAACACTGTATCCTATCGGACTGGCACCCTGTACCTGTGCAGTATACTGCCCACACGGCTGCCATCTCCACTTTTGGCATCTCTCCATTACAATCCAACTCTATGGTCGACTTACCTGCCCTGGTGTCAATTTCAGGGCAGGGCCGGCCTGCCGAGACTTATGGAGACCAAAGTTTCTCCCCCACCACAGCCTCTTTGACTCCCAGCTCGTTTTGCAATCGTCTCTGCTTCCGTGGCCCAGGCATGAAGCCCACAGCGCAATGAGAAAATCCTGGCTGACCTGAACCAAATCATCTTCCCTTTTTTCCAGTCCCAACCACAGGCCGAATAAGAACATTTAATGTGCTCACATTGGAACTTCGTATTAAAATAACAAAACCAACCAGCCAACCAAGCAAACAACCAAACAAACAAAAGAACCCAGTTCCTCTGTGAGTACACAGCCCCACCCTGCTGGCTCCCTGCAGGCAGCTCATCTGTCACAGAATGCAGAGAGAGTCTCAATGGACGAACTCCCAGTCTCCACCTGTTCATTTTCTCCTCTGATAGTGCTGGATACTGGGGCTGGCTATCATCTTAGTATAGGACGTGACCAAAGATGCCGCCCCTTAGGATGGGCTTTAGAAAACTTGCTTGTCTAGCCACATTTTAGGTAAGTTGCTAGCATGGATGGAGTCTAGCATGAATCAGCCTAGTCAAGACATCTTTTCATGGTTACATCAGAGGCTGAGGACCCAATCTACTGATTTTTTTTTAAGGGCCTCTTTTGGAAAATGATGCTTGCTTTTGTTTTTTGTTTTCTTTTTTTCTCTTTAAGTAACCCTGAGAGTACAATGATGCTTGTTTTTAAGGAAACTCTAATCCTACATATAATATAGTTTATCACAGAATTAGAGAAACATGAAATTCCACAGATGGAAGAGAAACTGAGGTAGAACACGTAGAAATTTTTCTTTATGTCAGAGATAAGCCAAAAGAGAGAAGCCTCGATCAATCCAAAGTTACCTAGGGAATTATAATTAGAGTGAGAACTAGCCCTGACCTTGGTTGGATTCAGTGTTCTTCCAGTAAATGGTACTAGCTGTTCCTGAATATCTGCTTTCTAGTTAAATAGTAAACATTAGCTGGCTGATGTGGACACTAGCTGTCAATATTTCCAGAGTTCTGGTAAAATTTCCAAAATTCCACCTCCCCCTCAATTTGGCTCACTGGAGAGGGGCAGCTAACCTCTGAGCATCGATGAGACATTGTGGTTTTTAACCCTAGGACTTTAAACTCACCTTTAGATTGACTAGAGTTACCTAAGTTACAATTTGTCTGATTCCAGAACCTTCAAGATTAAAAAAAAAGGGGGTGAGGGAAGGAAGTGCATGTGGGTACTTCTTACCCAAAGGGGTCCTGGCCTTCAAGTCCCCTGGGCAGATTACTTCCTTTGCATTGATAACCCAGAACACAGACACTCTGGCAGGTTGTGAGGTAAGCGTGAAGGCTAACACCAGGATAATAAGAAATAGAGACTACTATTTAAAACCCTACATAGATTTAAGTTGACTTTCCCGATGAGACTTGAAGCTGATATTCTCTCTACCTTTAGAAAATCCCTTAGGCTGGTACCTGGATACTGGTACTACTGCTACCTCCCTGAGCCTTCTGGAAACTTCTTTAGCTTCAGTAATCCTCATGACTCAACTCTTCTATCCCTAATGGAGGAATTGAGTGCTTGGCCCTGCGCTTGAGTGGTTGGTGTTAGAGATATTTTCTCAGTAGAGGGCATGCTTTTACATGGCTCCACACATGTAACTCTGACCACTGACACAGATGCCAGCGAGAGAGGGTAACAAACAGAAAACAGAGAGCCATGTCAGCTCAACTGTAGTCAGTGTGGAGGGAGCAACCTTCTTCCCAAGTGCAGAATGACAGGGAGGAAGTCCTGTGTCTTTGAGAGGAGACAACTTTCCCAAGAGCTTGAAGGCTTCTTGCCTGACACAATCAGTGTGTGTCAGAAATGGTGTCCCCAGCTATTAGTAAGGGTTTCTCCTGTTCTATGTTTACCTCTGTCCTCACTCTGCAGACTTTCCAGGGGGACTTGAGCTCCAGACAGCACAAGCCCTGATTGGCTAGAATTTAGTTTTGGAGACATTGGTCAAAGTGTTGAGGGTGGGGCATCAAGACTCCTAACATCCGGAACTGTCAGCGCAATGGTGTTGGCATCCATGTTGCGGTAGCTTGTTAGCTACACAAAACGAACTCACCCTCTCTGACTTTGGCCACTTCACACCCTGGAGTCAGAATGTTCTTCTCTCCTCCCCTTCCTCAGCCTGCCCTGCTCACCACTCTGTGGTATGAGCGGTGCTATCCCACATCTTGTCTCTCTGGTCATTTCCTGCTGCCATTTATTTTTCTTCTAACACATCTTTCTTGGCCTAAGCTTTAAACATGCTTTTCTGTAGTTCAGGAGCTTCTTAGAGAGCCCTCCATAAGAAGATTCTGGTACTCAGGACCAAGGATTAAGCCCCACGACCTTCTTGATCTCATTCTCTTTCCCTCAGCGCATCTATACTCCAATGTCATCAGACTCTCCAGCATGCCATGTCCTCCTCACGGGCATTGCCTGTACCACCCCTGATATCTGGGCACTTTGTTTCCATACCACCATGCTTCTTCCTAAAATTCTGTAACTCTTCTAACTGGATAGGTCATGCTCTTGTGTCCTTGAAATCCTCACTCAACGTCTCTTAGATACACATCTTATGTTGTTTGTTGTTACAATTGTTTGGACACATATCAAATCTTCCTCTTGAGTTGTGAGTCCCTCTCTCACCTCTGCATAATGATTGTGAACATTTTGTGGGCTGGCAAACTTTGCCCAGATGACATTTAGTGTCCATCCCATCTCCTCTATCAAGGACATCTCTACCATAAGACAGCACCTCAGTCTCCAACTCAACATCCACATTTGCAGAATTCTGCTCTCACTAAGTGACCGACCATCTAACCATTAGGTTGGGTTGTCATAGAGTAAGAAGCAGGGCCTCTCAGATATGTGTGCTCAGGCAGACATTGCCTTGTAGATTCCAGCATGCATGCTGATGTTCTTCACTGTTGTTTATGACCTAGTTAGAGTCATCACCTCCAAGCTGAGGACCACTGCCCCCAGATGTGATTGATGCTCATTTCTTTAAGGTTTTTAATCAGTGAGTTTTAAGAAACACAAAACTTGTAAGCCCCAGTAGTAAGGAAACTTGGATAGTAGAATTTCAGCCCAAACAGTGTGGATGGGAAATACACTTTCTGAATGAGAAAACATCCAGATTCTCAAAAATCCACACTCGGTGTTATTATTCATTTTATAAACTCGTGGTTGTTAAGACAGTAGCAGAAGCCAAAAATTCGAAAGTCATTAAGTAGCTGGCATCCTGACCCATTTAAGTTTGTAGTATGGAGTTGATCAGTAGCCAGGGTCCATGTTGATCTAGGACATATGATTGTATATTAAATTTGTGTTTCTCGACCCAAGGACATATTTTCCTTTGAGACAAGTACAGTTTACTTAGAGATTTAAAAAAAAAAATCACCCATTGTCTTTCATTGCTCTTTGGAGTTAGTTCGAATGGTGAGTAAATCATCAAGAGAGAATTTGTTCTCAGGAGGGCAACACTTTCCACAGCTGAGGCGCGGCTGCCTCGCTTCGCATCCGTTCTAGTCCACACTGAAGTGGGCAATGGAGTGTCGGTGGGTGGGGCAGGGTAGGGTGGCTCTGGGATTGGGGGGGGGGGCGTCTCTGTACAATCCATCCTCGGCTGTCTGCACTGTGTGGGGCTCCCATGATTGTCATTCACTCTGTCACTGGCTCTGACTCGAATTCCTTCTCCAAATCGATCTCGCTGTCTGTGACCGTGGTGAAGTCATGGTAGGACCAGGAGACAGAAGGAAGGAGGGCAGAGAGAGGGAGAGGGAGCAAGAGGAAGAGAGAGAAAAGGAAGAGAGAGAGAAAAGTTAGCAAGCAAAGCAGAAATAGTTCATGCAGGAAATACGGAAACCCTTCTCCCGGAGTGTTCAGAGTGCAGTTTAGGCACAGGCAGTGTGAAGGACAGTTTGGGACTGCTGAATTTGTATCACTCTGAGAATTTGCATAATCTTACATCCTGGCTCCTGAGGAAGATAAAATTCTGCCCCTGGCTGGGAGCTTTGCATTCATCTGGCCAAAATGCTTATTTGACAGATGGCATTCAGAGTATAGAAGGACTTGTCACCACAAAGTGGAGGCAGGGCCAGGACCACAGCCCATAATTCCCACTTCCTGTTCTTCTGTACGTTTTTTTTTTTTTTTTTTATTTTTTATCATTTTTTCTTTTAGACAGAGTATCACATGGCCTGGGCTGGCCTTGAACTCACTATATGGCTGAAGAGGACCTTATATTCCTAACCTTCCTGTCTCCACTTTTCATCTCTGGAGTGCTGGAGCTATAAGCATGTACTCCCATGCCCGGTATATTCAATGCTGGGGACTGGATCCAGCGCCTTGTGCATTCTAGGCGAGCATGCCACCTCCTGAGCCACATTCCCAGTCTCTCTGCTGCATATGCCTTAGTCACACCCTGCATACTTCTTGTCTGTCTCCAACCCCTCCCTGCACATTCCCAATGATTCAACTCATCGGTCTTACTGTTCGTCTTCCCGAGGACCTACCAGAGTACAAAGTACCCACAGATGCTCAGAGACGCTGGCTGAGTGTTAACAAGGGCTGTAACAGTCCTAATCTAGTTTAATGCAAATGAATTGGGTCAACTTTTAAGTATAAAGTGATAAGATGATCTGTAGCTTTCCAGCATAGGTCACATAAAATGATACAATCTGATATGGCCTTACTCTGTCAACGTTTCCATTATAATAACCCATGTGTTTCACCAGGGCAAAATATTAATAGCACTTTCTGTTTTCCAGAAATATGAAACAGAGATTCCAAACCCCTGCTCTCTGATGGGGGTGGGCTGGGTATAACTAAGCACTTATTACATTTGAATGTATTTCTGGCTCTCTACAGGCATGGTATGGGTAGGAACCCAGTTAGTTCTCACCACAATCTTGACCATGGAGGATGAGGCCAAAAGAGTATGAGCAAATTACCTAGGCCCACCCAGCTGCTAGAATTTACATTTAAAACCACAACTTCCTGACTACAGTGTCTGGTTCAGTTTTGAGCACCACACACTTCCACTGATCTTCAGAATGACCCTTGCTTTGCCCTGCAGGGAACCTAGCTCAGAACCCAGTCACACTGCACACTGACTGGGCCACCTACAGAAGGAACATCTGAGGTCTTCAGGCTAGACCCTGTCCTTTCCATCTGAATTCCCTACAGAACTCCGCGTTGGCATCCAGTAAGTGCTGACCTTAGGAAGTTATAAATGATAGTCTTTTCCCTTTATAGGCCCCACCCCCACCACAGCCCATGTCACCATATGAAAAAGGAAACAAGCCCAGTCTGACTTTGGGGCTACCTGGGGTTTGCCTCAATGAGGGAGCCTTCCTGTCAGGATCTGTCTGAATGCTGGATGGAAACTATTTAGGAGAAAAGAAAGAGGAAAGAACCCCAAGTCATGAGATAGGCATCATGTACCTGATGATAATATCTGGACTTCTCATCTCTATTCTAAAGGAAGTCCCGGAGCCCCCTTTCCCCCTGACTGCCACTACACTGTGGCTACACAGCTGTAGAGAGTTGCTAAAATCACAGTCCAGACTTTAACATTTGAAACCACATGGGTATGGGAGTAATGGAATAGTAACTGGAAATTGATATTCTTTTACAAAACTCAATAGACAATTTATGTGCGCTAGTCCTCTCTAGGACCATGGCTCATGTTCTAGAATTCAAGTTAGTCTAAACTCTTCCGTTTCACACTTCCAGCAAAAGATCTTGTCCATGGTCTCATAATATGTTAGAGGGACACAAGGCAAGAACTCTGGGTCCCCAGAGCAAGTGCAAGTGTTCTCTGCTTCATAGAGGTCATCTGTGCTGACCCCACAGCCCTCCCCAGGCAGCCCTAATCCATCAGCTGATCTAGAAGACTTAGAAGGTGAGCAATTGGCATGTAGACGTTCAACATCATTCGACTGACTCTGCACATCGGCGCCAAACTAGTTTCTCAAACTAGCAATTTCCAAGCTTGGGCTCATTTCAGACCTTGAAGTATATCCTATTCCCTTACCGAATTTAGTACCCTGTCTGCAGGTGAAGAGAAAAAATTGTGTTTAGAAAGTAAACCAGGCCATTCAAAAAGCTTGTGTGTGTGTGTGTGTGTGTGTGTGTGTGTGTGTGTGTGTGTGTGTGTGTGTGTGGTTCTGAACTCTATTTCTGAAACGGGCTCCCATGTTCTTTCGTCCAGCTCTTACATGGTGTTTGACTTTTGACACCTTTCTTAGTTCTGGCAAACTTTCAACCCCGCATAGTCGTTGCTCTGACCCCACCACGAAGAAACGCATCATTGTAGCCAATCCGTTTGGTTTCCTTACTTTTACAGGTGGGAATCTTGTTACTCCATGTGCCGTCCTTCAGACATTCAATCTGGAACGAGTCCATCACCTCATTATCCTGAAAAGACACCCGGAAGGGAATGGGAAGAAGCAGGTTGTGGATTAGCACATATTGCCTAGCAAAGATAACTCCAACTTCAAACCTGGCTATCTTCAACTGGAAATCCCCCTGCCCCGTGCACTCCAAAGGCAAACTTGCCCTTAACAAAGAGACGGGTGCTCACGGTGTCACCCCCATTTATACTCTGGACACAGTTGTCTCTAGAGGGAAAACGATGGTTTTTATTCTAGTTTGAGGTCAATGCTTCTCCAACTAGAGCTAGCAATCTGCGTCACCTAGAGAGGACTAGCAGAGACAGACTGCCTCTCCCTGCCACCAAAATTCCAGTTCAGTGCATCTGACCTACCCAAGGAGTCATAGTTCTAACAAGCTCCCCCGTGCTGCTGCTGCTGATCCAGCCCCTTCCTGAGGGCAATTCCTCCAGAGCAGTGGGCCTCTAGCTTGGCTGGACATTAGCCTCACCTAGGGAACATAAAGATACCAACCACTGGTTCCAGTCCCAAGCCTCCGCACATGGGGACTGTGCCTCTTTACTCCTGTTCTGAAAGGTGGGTAGGTGGACCGCCACTTTGAGCGGTAGGTATTAGAGGAGTGCCCATCTGCCATCTTTAAAAGCCCTGCTTCTCTTTCTGTACCAACCCACCGCACCCCCGATGAGCTTTGTTAAGGCCGTTGTCCCTAATTACAGAGCCATATGGTCCCATATTTAAAAATCCAGGACAACGCACGCTCGGAGAAACAACTTAAGTGCCGCGTCCCGAAGTGAGGAGTGGCTGGAATGCATCATTCTGAATTTCTGGAGTCACGGGAAGCTTAACGGGGATGCTAGGAAATGCTGAGCGGGCGGTGTGGTGCCTCATACACCATGGGAGGCTCTGCAGGGTTTCTCCAGCCTGCTCACTCCTCCTCCCAGGCAGGGTTCTGCACCTTGAGCACTTTGTAGCCCATGTCGCAGCTGATGAGCACTTGGTCTTTGAAGGAATACACGGCTTGCAAGGGCTCGATTTTCCCAAATGCGGGAGGCTGGAGCTTTGGGCACTCGTTTCCTGGCAGGAAGCAGATGAAAAGGCATCGGGTGAGAAACAAGAGAAAGTGGGGGTGAAGGGGCAGCACCTGGCAAGCAAGGCCTGAAGCGGGTGGAAACAGCGGGACCGGGCGCCTAGACGCAAGACGTTTGAAACCAGGAGTGAGTCATTTTCTAACGCGGCCGTCCATTTCTTCGTTGGTGAAGTGAAGGAGCCAGCCACATGATTTCATTTACACTCAGAGATTGGAGGGACACTAAAGGCCACTGTCCCACAGCCACAGGAGCTCAGCCCCTGAGGCCTGAACTCCATGGATACCTCGGGTTAAATAAACAAGGCCTTCCTATTCATTTGAAATTTGTGCCCTGGCATTTTTCACTCACTGGCTACTCAGGATGACCACAGTCACCCTTTCTTGCTAGGACACCAAGGGACTGTGGTCAGATGCCTCTGCTTCTCCTCAAGGGGCTGCTCCTGACAAGAACCTCAGTGGGTCTATCCCTGACACCTTCACAGGGACAAACACTCTTTTGTTAAATTTCTGTCGCTCCTCTCCCTGTGTGGCCATGCAGGCTGAGCCAGGCCTCCTGGTTCTATGAAGATGACTCCTCGTTGGGGTCTACCCTCGTTTCCCTTGAGTTATTACAGACTTATTGAGTCATAGAACTCCCTCCGGGCTTGTGTCAGGACTTGGGGCACTAGGGATTGGGGTTGCAGGCTGTGCCAGGCCAGGGACCTGTACAGAGAGAGACCCATCTCCACAGAGCTCTGGGTCCATACACTCCAGTGCCAGACTTGGAGGCGGCCAGGGTTGGGAGGCCTTCTCAGCCTCATGAATCTCCATGTGAGGAGAAAAGAGAAACAATGTGTTTTCAGTCTCTCTCTATGTGTTGCTGAAGTGTAGACAGTCTTGAGTATAAGCCTATTCTCCCTGGAACCCATCCCCCATTTGTAGGTGGGAAACTCAGCCAGGAGGTAGCATGTCCCTTGTTCCCAATTTCTCAGAGTCCCACTAGGTCCTCAGAGGAGTGGGCTTCTGGCTTGGACGACATCCCTCCTCCCTTAACAACCTGCTGTGTGAGCAGGGAGCACAGTGGCTCAGGGTGACCTGGGAAGGGGGGAAAGGTTACCTGCTGCCCTGTAGGAGAGCCTCCAGCCTCGGTTCTCTCCCGAGTTGTCGCTTCGGAAGAGGATCTGGACAATGTGACTCTCAGTACTGATGGGCTCTGGGGATGTCTCTCCACAGAAGGGCCCCCAGACTCTTGAACCAGCTTTAATCTAAGAGAGGAAATAAATATATATAGAAAAGTTTCAGATCTGAGTGCTGCAGGGCCCTGCTTCAGGTAGACGAGTGTTGGAACTTTCTGGAAGTCCTAATGCAAATCCATAGTATACACTCTCGTTTTTTGTAGACTGACCAGTCACCACATGGCTTTATGCCCATTTTTGTCATAATTTCAGTGGCCTGCAGAGTTAACCAAAGCAAGCTAATAATGCTGGAATTAATGATGAACATTTTGTGGGCAGTCTTGTACAGTAAACAAAATAGTTAAGGGTCCCACTCTCAAAGACTCTGTTGTTTACTGCAGTGACTAACAATAAGTAAGCTAGATAATTATAAGCATATAAATATATATGCACATATGTATAAAAGGAACATGTGTCATATTTTCTAATTCCAGTATTAGAGTGTATATAATCTATAGAAGTCACCATTTGAGTAATAGAAACATAGTAACTAACAATTTTAGGTGCTAAGGAAAGCCCTATGATGACATGACATTAGATCTAATATATAGGACGAGTGGAAGAAAATGGAAGAACAGCATATTTTTCCGGCCGCTTTCTAGGCAGAAAAAAGGATAGCATATGTAAAAAAGCAAGGCCAAAGGTGGGAGAGATCTTGGCAGGTGTGAAGAGCAGGAGAAGCCACTGTGGCTGGACCAGAGGGAGCGGTGTAAGACAAGGTTGGACAGACTGGCGAGGGTCTTATTTTATTGAGGAGCTTAGCTTAATTCCATGGACAGTGCTGGTCCGATCTTGATGTGACCCTCTATGCTGTGGGATGAGAGATGCCGCAGGAGCAAGAATGGAGTGAGGGCACCAGTTGGAAAGTCGCAGATGAGCAGGGCAGAGGTGATGGAGTTTGGACTATAATGGAGCAGAGCCGGAGACATGGACTTAAACGCCATTGGCTGATTCAGATCAACCCAACTCCCAGTCAAGTGCGCTTGACCCCTTTCCTTCTTTCGCTGAGAACCATGACTCCATTTTTAGCTTTTGGCAGTGTCTATAATCCTGGGTGACATCATTGTTTTGTGGAGGACAGAGAAAGTGATACTTCAAGACATTCAGTATCTGGATATGGGTATCATGCTGAGCTCCTGGAACACAATGGTTAGTCATCCAAGACAGTCTGCATGTTCTTCTCCCTCTGTGTGGTTAGAGGGACTTCAAAAAATATCATTTTTTTCACTCTTTGAGAACTTCATATATATATATATTATATTTGCCCCTCACCTCTCCACCAACTCTACCCAGGCCCCACCACCACATCTCTCCTCCAACATGATAAAATGTCCTCTTCCCATGATCACTGAGTCTAATCAGTGTCGGTCATATATGCACATGGGTGTGGAGCTGACCACTGGAACATAGACAACCTACCAGGGGCTACTTTCCTAAAGAAAATGCATTTTATCTTAGTAGCCTTCAATGGCCAAAGCTCTTCAGCTAGGTGCGGGGCTTTGCAAGCCCCTCCCCCATCTGTGCTGAGCTTTTGACTGGCTTGATCTTGTACAGGTCTCACGGGAGCAACAACAGCTGCAGTGAGTTCATGGGTGAAACAGTCCTGTCATGGCCAGAAGACACTGTATCGCAGCCGACCTCAATGATGACCCGTGTTCTCACAATCCTTCTGCCTCCTTTTCTACAATGTCCCTTGAACTATATGAGGGAGTGGTGTGATATAGGTGACTCTTTAGGGCTGAGTCTTTACTCATTTTCTGCACTCTGACCAGATGTGTATCTCTGTATTTAATCACAGCTCATTGTAAAAAGAAGCTTCTCGGATACAGACTGAGAGTTTCACTAATCTGTGGGCATAGAGAGGAGTATTTAGAAGGCAGTTTGACAGTATGTCTGTTTAACAAAATGATAATAGTGGGCTCTTTCCTGAGGTCTGTGACTTTTCCAGGCATAGGTTCTTTGCCAAGTTTACAGGGCCAGGCATGATTATTGTTTTGTGGAGTGGGCCTTAAATTCAACCATAACAGTTGGTCACCCCATTAACATTTATACCACTGTTGCGCTCAAGGCCATATCTCACCAGGCTACTCTTGTAGCTCGCAAGGCTCATACCTGGTATGACTGTTGGTACCTGGTTTCCCTCAGCTGCCTCTGTGGCACCACAGGCACCATGAAAGTTAGCTAGTAAGGAAGGAACTTCTAGGTCAGGACCAGCTTGACTTTTCCATGCCTTATGACTCAAGTGAATGGTGTCTTTAGCAATAGGGTCTTACCATTTACTTCTGATGGGTAGCAAAGAACAAATGAAAAGAGCCTGTTTTGTTTATTAGGGTTCTATGGGATCTCTCTGACCAACAACTTGAAGGGTGGTACCCTACACCTGCCACTGGGCTTTTTGTTTGATAACTATGGCTTCTGGGAGAAGCGTTATTCTCCTATATTAGGTAATTCCATTTGAACTCTTTTATATATAACAGAGAGCTAGATAGATTGTTAGATAGATAGATAGATAGATAGATAGATAGATAGATAGATAGATAGACAGATAGATAATATGAAGCTTCTAAATTAGTATGTTTCCATATGGCTCTTTCAAACATCTTTAGTATTAGTTTTCCCTCCTGTCTTAGTTAGGGTTATTATTGCTGTGATGAAACACCATGACCAAAAGCAAACTGCGGAGGAAAAGATTTATTTGGCTTCCACATCCACATCACTGTTCATCTTTAGAGGAAGTTAGGATAGGAACCTGAGGCAGGAGCTGATGCGGAGGCCATGGAAGGGCTTGCTCAGCCTGCTTTCTTATAGACCCCAAGACCACCAGTCCCAGAATGGCACCACAAACCATGAGCTGGGCCCTCCCCCATCAATCACTAATTGAGAAAATCCTCTACAGGTTTGCCTACAGCCAGTCTTATTGGAGGCAACCCTCCTCTGCCTTACCCTACTAAACCACTTAAACCTTTCTCCCACCTAAACCTTTTCCCCCAGTGTCTCCTTCCATCTTTATACAACCCATCCTCTGATATCTCCCTCCCTTAAAATCTTATTTCTCACCCTGGCATAGCCTCTTTCTAGTTTCCTGGCTTCTATAGTTACTCCAAATTAATCATACGTATCTAAAGATGCTACACTAACATCCACATAGGAAAGAGAACATGCAATGCTTGTCTTTCTAGGACTGGGTTACTTCACTCAATGGTTTTTCCCAGTTCCATCCATTATCATTTAATAATGTCATCCTTCTTTATTGTTGATATAATTCTACTTTACACATGTACCACATTTTCACTACCCATTCATTAGGTGATGGCCATCTAGGCTTTTTCCATGTCCTAGCTATTGTGAAGAGAGCAGCAATGAAGATGGACGATCAACTATCTCTACAGTAGCATCTATATTACTATCTTTTGAGCAGATACCAACGAGTGATATAACTGGGTCATACAGTAATTGGGTTTCCAGTTTTTGAGGAGCCTCTACCCTGATTTCCATGGTGACTGCATCCATTTACATCCCCACCCACAGCGAATACGGGCTCCTCTTTCATCACAGCATTTGTTGTCATTTGGTTTCTGGATCTTCACCATTCTGACTGTGGTCAGATAAAACCTCAAAGTAATTTTAATTGCACTTCTCCAATGGCTAAAGATGTTGAAGACTTAAAAATTTTCTTTTAGTCGTTTTTATTTCTTCCTTCGAGAGCTCTCTACATAGGTCTATTTTTTAAAAGTTGGGTTGTTGCTTTTTTTGTGTGTTTAGTTTTCTTAGTTCTTCGTATATTTCATACATTAATCCTTTGTCAGACATACAGTGAGCATTAGTTCGCATACTGTTGCTGCCTCTTGACTAGGTCTGTGGTTTCCTTTACTGTACAGAAGCCTTTGGGTTTCATGAGGCTGACAGGAGGGACTCCTCAGGACCAGTACAGAGGAAAGTGAGAACAGCTCTTTCACCAGTATGGAACTCAAGTCCTGCAACGTTAGGAATAAAATTCTGCCACAAGCTTAGATGATCTTGGAAGTGGTTTCTTCTCCAGAGCCTGAAGCTAAGAGTCTCATCAAATTGACACCTTGGTTTCAATCCCATGAAACTCTAGAGGGAAAACCAATAGAGCCCGTTGGGACTTCTGGTCTACCCAAGCATGTGGTAAGAGTTGTTGCAAGCTGTTGTGTTGGGAGCAACTTACTCCACAGCAACACAAACATGCCCTGTGCCACCTGCAGCCAAGCTCCCTCAGCTTCTGACTCACTAGAGGGTGAGTCAGCCTTCAAGTTCTTGAGCTTTCTCACAGGGGTTCCTGGGCTTCTCTGCTTCTACCACTGCTGACAGCTCCCATTAGACTTCTCTTTCTAACCTCACTGATGGCCCTGCTTCCTCTGCGTAGCTCTCAGAACTCATGGGCTCCAGTTCCCATTGATTTTGTTTTCTTGAACTGCTCAGTATCCTCATGGCTTAGAATGGCATCTGTTTATATACTTGGTGGCACCTTTATTTGGCAGGCTCAGCATCTTCCCTGAAGTCAGAGCCCAATATTTGGCTTCACTCAGACGCTTGACCTAGCACTGTAGGAACTTCTTATTTTACCCCCTACACATCTGAGAAATGTTTCTCCCACTATGCCAGCCAAAGCTCAAAATTAGGTTACCTTACATCTGACCTACAGCATTAGAATAACCTCGAATGGAGTAGTTACTGGCCTTGGACCTTTTCTTCCCTCATTATTGCCTTTATAATGGTCTCTTCCCTCCCACAGAAGCACCTGCATAAATGGGTGGGATCTAGTACAAACAAAAACTGAGAGCATCTTGTTCGGAATGCATTAAGAAGGCAGCAGTGGCACTAAACCAAGCATGAGTCCTTGTTGAGTGCAAAGCCCCCCTGCAACTGTCCAGCGGACACTCCATAATGTTGAGTCCAGCTCACGGGACCTCCCTAAATTATAGGTTTGACTTTGTAGTTCTCTACCTCATATCATCCTAGTGACCAGGGTCCTGGTTTGGAACCAGAGGAGACCCCAACCTGCAGCAGATGAAGCCAAAATAGCATTTTAAACAACGGCATTCTGAGAGGCTGGTGGCTTAGCTCTCTAGCTATCCTAAGAGAAGATGAAAAGACAAAAGCCCAGAACATTGATTTTTTTTTTCCAATTGAGCCAAGACACTTCAGCATCCTTGGGACAAGCAGTCATTGCAGGCTTACCTTAATGTAGTCATATGGACAGGGCACCTCAGGATGGTCCTCAATGTCAAAAATGTCCTCAAACTGCAGGCTGACCATGAAGCCATCCTCCAAGTCGATGGTATAGGAGCATTCAGAGCTCTTGGGGTAAGGGTTGGGGTAGTCGGGGCTCGTGATGGTGCCTGTCCTCTGGGTAAAGAGATTGCCACTGCATTCCACTGTGGAAAACATAACAGAGAAAATGGTACTCCGTTGACACAGACACGGCCAACCCTCGATTGTCTGCTACTGTGTAGTTTTTACAGGGTTCCCAGGAGGTAGGTAGAGAAGGAATTCCCATTTTACTGAGAAACTGAAACTCTGTGGAGGGTAATGGTCCTTCCACTATCACCTGTGGAAAAATTAGACTTTCTAAGTCTCTCTCTAGATGGGGTTTCCGTGGATGATGACTCTTGCCATGGGATCCTCTGGCAAGGGCAGGCAGCCACTCTGAGAAAAAAAGGTTTTGAGATGAAGGGGCGGGTGCTGTGTCTGGACCTCTTTGGGTCTTGCTTCCTCCTTTGCCTGGGCATTTTTCAGGTCTCTGTTCAGTCATTTTTGGTCCTCTCCCCCCATATCCTCACTGCCCAGCCCCTGCTTTTCTCTTGTTGGCTGCACAGGTCCACCCTCTCTGACATGTCATACACTCGTTTGCTGACTCCTTGCCTCCCTCGCCCCCCCAACACACACACTAAACTGAGTTCTATGAACTGCAGATTTCTCTCTCTCTCTCTCTCTCTCTCTCTCTCTCTCTCTCTCTCTCTGTGTGTGTGTGTGTGTGTGTGTGTGTGTGTGTGTGTGTGTGTGTGTGTGTGTGTTTCTGCTATCCAACATCCAGCTCTCTGGGGAGTCTCACCCCATGACTTAGCCCATGATAGGCTGCTGAACCTTGGTCCCTTGGGCTGGCCCCTCCCAGGCCTGGCATGTCTGTGCCTTGTAAGCCTTTGTTCATTCTGCTCATTTTGCAAATGAGAAAACAGTAGCCCAGAACAGCGAGCATGACTAATATAAAGTTCCAACAAGAACTGCAGAGGGAGGTCTCTGAGTCTGTTTGCACTTTCTACCTCCAGCATTCTCATGGGGAATTCTCACCCCTAGGAGGACTAGCAATGGTCTGGGGGAAAGGAAATCTCACTTGTGCACAGACAGATATGTGGTTCATAAACAGATGTATAGCCCATCTGTAATATTTTTTAAAAAAAGATTCCTGGGGTCAGGGTGAAAAAAAGTGAGGAAACTTGACCCTGAGCTTTCATAATTCTCTTTGAGAAAATTGCTTTTAAAAGGTGCTCATTTCTGTTGATGGGTTTATACAGGAGCCACACGGCTTTATTCAGGAAGTTTGGAAGGAAGAAGTAAAGACTCTTGTCTCCAGTTGTGGCTTCCTTCCCTGAGCCCTCTCCAAGTGGGCTCACAAGCACAGACCCTACCCTGGGCCCTACTAACACACGGGCAGTTCCCGGAATGTCCTGAGTTCTACCGCACTTCTGAATCATCTTAGGATTTGTCCTCCCTGTGGGGAATGAACGTCTCCATATCCATTCACTCTGTCAAGGGACACTTCTGTCACTTCTCCGGGCCAGATTGGGTCTCACCAGGCTGTGACCAGGCTTCCTTTATGCAAGCACAGCAAGTGTAGCATTTACTTTATCTGAACACGTGTGTGCACGGCTCTTGCCCAGCTAGCCTGGGGAATACTCCCGGATCGCCATCTCTGACCCAACCGGAAACAGCAAAGCAGGAGCCATGATGGCAGAAAATGATACAGCAGCGGAGGAAGGAGCTACTTTCTTGCTATCTTTATCTGTTTTCCCCCCCTCTGTCCTTTGGTCTGCGGTAAGCTCTGTTAGAGAGGAACAGAGGGGCTACTGAAACAGAGAGAAAAAGGAAACTTTGGTTGAATGTATGGCTCATAGACAAAGGACGGGAAAAACCAGGTTTCTCATAAGTCGGCCAGGTTGGTTACTTGCAGTAGGCGAGGAGACAAAACTCTTGGAACAGACTTTCTGCTCAGGAAGGGCAGCCTGACTTCAGAGCTTCTTGTATGCTCCTCTGACAATGGACCTGGGACTTCTAGTGGTGTGAACACCTTGGCATGTGTCCATGTGCTGTGTGTGTGTATCCCTGACTTCATTTATTTTAGTGCTCTCTCTCTCTCTCTTTGTCTCTCTCTTTGTGTCTCTGTCTCTCTCTCCGTATGTGTAAATGCAGGTGTGCATACCTGTGCAGATGATACAGAGACCAGAATTCAGTGTCAGTGATCTTTCTGGTGCTCTCCACCTAAGTTTGAGAGCGGGTCTCTCACCGAACCTGGAGCTCAGCGTTTCATTTCTGTTAGATTGGCTGGCAAGCTCTTCGGATCTACTTGTCAGCACTGGAATTACAAGCAGGCATCACCAAGGCCAGCTTCTGCATGAGTGCTGGGGTTCTGAACGTAAGTTTTCATGCGTGTGCCCCAAGTTCTTTGCCCACTGAACTGTCTCCCCGGACCTGACTTTGTTTTTCATTGTAGGTACTATGTATCTATGTCTCGCCTGATCGTATTGGAACATGTGGTGTAGCATGACAAAGCACAGCATCATCCTTAGACCCTACCTCTGCAGGTCCTGTTGTCTGTGTGGAGGATATAGCCGAAGCGGCAGGAGCAGTAGAATCCGCCGATGTAGTTGTGGCAGTAGTGATCACAGGAGAGCTCTTCGTCTTCTCTCTCTTTGCATTCATCCACATCTGTGGGGCAGGCAGAGCCTCTCATCAGTCACTGCACATGTGATGATTCGGCCACATTTAGAAAACACTTAAGGTCATCCATTGTTTGGGGAGGGTCATGCTTTTCTTTCATTTAATCCCGTGTAAAGCCCAGAGGTGGCCATATGTCCATTTGTCAAATGTGATAAGCAGAATCCAGAGAAGTGAGGCTACTTGCCAAGATCGGAGAGCTAGGTCTGAACCTAGGTAGTCTGAGCCTTGGTAGAGGTGATCACCACGTCTTGGTTACAATAATCACCACACTGTGTGCCACAGTCTTACCGCCCTCATCCTATGGATGGTGAAACAGATAGAAAACCCGGGCTTCTTCCAGAGTTTGGCTCACCACTGCATCCCCACCCCCTCTGCCCTGGATATAGGTCGAGTCCTGTCCTAGATATTTGAACACCCATTTCTCCTATAGAAGATTACAAATGGCCGGTAAGTATACACAAAGATGTCCACCATTATTAGCCATTAGGGGATACAGTCTAAGCCACCCATATTCACCAGGGAAAATAAAAATGAGGGAAAAAGAGATTGACAACATTTAGTGTTGATGAGGACATGGAGCCATCAGTAATGTCATACACTGTTATACAAATTACATAATTGTTTGGAGAAAATCTGGCAATTTCTTGTAAGACTAAACACAGCTGTCCTCAAACCAGCAATTCTGTGTCTAGATATTCACCAATAAATAGGAAAACATATGTTCATAAAAAAGGTTGAAAGAACCTTTATTAAGGACTGTAAAAACAAGAAGTGAAGCCCACGTATCTCTCAATTGGAAAAAGGACAAAAAACATTACAGTGTATTCACGCAACGGAACGTAGTTCTGCCGGAGAGCTAAAACAAAATAAATGAGTCTTAGAAACATTATACCAAGCAAAGGGACAATCATGTCCCCACTATATTTTCTGTGTATTCATTTATGTGACATTTTAGAGGCCAAACTAATCTATAGAAGAAAGTCAGAACCATTGGGTTCTGTGAGGAATTTGGGAGCAAAGAATTTAATTGGACAAGAACATGAGGAACTTTCTGGCAGATAGTGAAGTTCAATGTGTGTTGAGGGTTTGGGTCACACACAAATATATGTTTTTTTTCAAAATAGAATAAATGCATGCTTAAGATTTGTCCATTTCATTATGTGTATATTCTATACGGCCAGATAAAACATTGTTAGCAGGTGTTGAACTAGGAAGCAGTGTAGTGATGCCCACTACTGCTCTGGACCATCTCAAAAATGGTAAATTGTTGGATGAGTGGTGGCTAGCTAGATGCATGGGTCTGTGATCTATGGAACAAATGCAGCGAGCCTCTGCAAGCAGAATCCATGGGGCAGGCGCACAGGTGTCCGTCAAGGCGAGAGCACGAGGCAGTTTTCATCTCCAGAGACAAAGGGAGACCCGGTGATGAGGTAACTTACCTACAGCCATGTAGTGGGCATCAAAGCCTGTGAATCGTTCCTCATTGGAGAAATCTGACCGGAAAGTGACGGACATGAAGGAGCCAGGGGAAAGAACCTCTTCCTGGCCGGGGGTCTGCTCCGTGTCCGTGGTCTCCCTGCCACAGAAGGTTGCCAGCACCTGATCTTCTGTTTCTACCTTTGGGGTCAGAGTGAAAAGGAACAAGATGAATCCTTCCCATGTCAGCCTCTCTCTGGATCTCCAAGAAGACATAGGCAGATGAGGCAGCCTGAGCGATTCAAAGAGGGAACTAGGGACTCTTGGATAGGAGGAAGACATAGGGCTTGTGTAAGTGAATGTGGCCAACTGATCAGTTTCATTTGCTCCATTTAGTTCCCTCAGCAGGTGCTTGGCATCTGTCATTCTTATTGCCGGCCAGATGAGTTGTTCACTGGAAACAATTCAATGGAAAAAGTAAAAAAAGCTAAGCTAGATAACCTCCCAGACGGGTTCTACACAGAAACCACACACAATAAGTCATTCACAGAGCATCCAGGGTGTGCCTGCCACTGAACACAGCATGAGATGGGGTGATGAAAGACGAGCAAGGCTCAGTGTTATTCATGGGACAGTGACACTCAGATGAACAGGCACAAGTGGAGCTGTGACAGTGTGACAGGAAAATTCACAGAAGCAGGCAGGGGGTGAAGGGTCCCCGGGGAATGTAAGCTACAGGAGATTAGGAGTGTTTGGTTGTAGTAGCCACGTCCCTGGTACATGGAATAGAACCCAGCACATAGTTATTTATTCAATAAATAACTTGCGAACAAGAGCTGAAACTTCCAGACACATTGTGAGGGCTATGAGGAGCCAGGGAGTCAGTGAAGACTGGAGGAGGAGGCTGTGCTTGAAAGGATATTGCAGCCCTTTGTGGTTGACCTTTGATGACGTCAATGCTGCAAGTGGAAGACATTGAAAGTTTTTGAACAAGAAGTCATGTACTCATAACTATATTTAATAGGTAGCCCTGAAAAATTTAGAAACCGTCTTTTGGAGGCCTCCAGAAATTGCATGCATGTACGAGTGTTGAGACCAGATGCAAAATTTCCCTGCTTGATTAAAGAATTCCTTACTTTGGAAGGTCCAGAGATCCTGTGCAAATTTGGAGACCAAAGCAGAGGTAGTCTATTGGTTGCTTAAAGCTGACTTTACGTGTCTTGTTTGGGAAACAGCTGGTTGGTGTAGTTATGGTAAAGTTTGATGATGCACGTTTAACCTACTTCCTTACTTCTGCTCTATCGCCTTAAAGTTCACTTGATTCCTCTAGTGAGGAATAAAAGCTTGTATTTCTGTTTGCAACATCTGCACTGATGTTTTAACCAAGCAACAGGAGAAAATTCTGTGGAGAACGGTTTCTGCCACCAAAGGGATGCTCTCAAAGGCTGTCTGTCTCGAGCGGCTTTAATAAGTCCATTGTTCTGTTCCTTGGTGTAGTATGGCAGAATATCTTGACATTTGACACTTCTGTTTTGAGACTAATGGTTTATTTATTTAAAATAAGAAGGAAAGCAATTTGCCCGGACAACAAAACACAAGGACAATTAATCACTAATGTTGGAAACTGAAGTGTAAACAGGAGATGAGCTCAGGGCTTTGCTATTTGTTCTTTCTGCAGATAGTAGCAGCAATCTCCCACAGCCTCTGACTGCAGAATGTGCCTTTCCTCACACAGCTAAAACTCCACTCCTCTGCCTCCCAGCTGGCCTGCTGTTGTGGTTAGTGTGGGTTTCCAGATAACTGAAACTTTTCTAACAATAATCCTTAAAACCCTTTTCCAATGGGCAGAGTGCTTCCTTTCAAAGGAGTGTTTTCTGTGAATCACTATTTTCTGAAGTAAAACACGCTAAGCTTTCCTTGGTGAGCTCAAACATCACAAATGTCAAATGCCATGATACTCCATCAAAGTGGGCCCCTCGGGAATACTGAGCCAAGTACTGTTTGCCCTCCATGGAACACTGCTCAGCCATATGCCTTTGCAGTTTTTAATGTCTTCGTTATGAAGTGTTCTGTTTTGTATCTTTCAATTAGTGTAGTGGCTGTATTTTTCTGTCTGCCTGTTTTTAATGTGTTATAAATTAAATTAGAACCCACTTACACTGCTCTTGTTGGAATTTAATAGAAAGGAGACTTAATGGATTTAGAAGAAGGACTAGGGAAGAGATTCTTCGACAGGTAACCGCAAAACCCCAGTGCTCCAGCTTGGTGTCAGTGGTCTGGAGTACCGGAAGATGTGTGGATCACCTGCATCACCCAGGCTTCCCATTCATGCTCTGGCTCCCCTCTCTCTCTGCCTCTCACTTCTTGGCCTGCAAAGCTGGAGTTTTAACTTGCTGACCTGTATGAGGACTGTTGTCCTAAAATGTCATCACTGCCATACACTAAAGAAATGCACTGGAAAGTGGTGAGCAGACATCTGGACACACAGATCTAGGCTGCGTGGCGAAGCTGAGCTTATTTACGAAACATATTGACACGCTTGAAAATTGATTATACCAACGAACAGTCAGGCCTTAAGCAGCCAGAGCTCGGGCACAGAAACCCTCCTGGAGCCTGGCAGCGCCAGCACCTGGTGATTTTTGCAGTGTGGGGAGCACAGGCTTGTTCACACAGAATCAACTATGGATCACTGGGAACAGAGATCTGCTGAGGGCCTCTCATGATTTTCCTCAGTCTTGCAACTTCCGGGATTGAGGATCTCTTCGTGAGGACTAGACAGTCTTCACCCGTAGAGCCACACCAATCTAGAGAACAGGGATGCATGCTCTAGCTGATGGCCAAGAAAACTGAGTCATAGACTCTTTCAGAAGCAGACAAGAGACAGTCTGAGGCCCTAAGAATTCAGCCTGTGGCCCGGATTGGAAGTTGAGCACACGGCTGCTGAGGGGGACCTGCAAGAGATTTAGTCTCCCTTCTTCCAGAGGAAGCTGAGGCCCAGAGGGGAAGTGACTTCCGGAAGAACAGAGAGATAATGCGAACACTTCTGATATCAGCTTTGCTTTTGAAACTGTTCTGTGACAAGCCAGTCAGCAAAACACAGAGTGTGACAAAGGACAGACACTTGGCCAAACAATTTCCTGGCTCAAGAGCCTCTTGAAACCTTATCTAGGGTTCATGGATTTTTCTCCCAGAGAGAATGTGGCTCAGTGACAGCTCCAGCCATAACCTAAATAGAAGGCTCAGTGACCCTGGTAGACATTGGTGTCCCACTGCTGGATTACAAAGTACTGCAAAGACCACTCGCCTCTGAGTGTAGCAAGAAAGAGCTGTGCCTTCTGTTTTGACTGTCCTTGTATCTGGAGTTATCATATCAATGTGGTCAAGAGAAAACACGAAATTCATAACTAGAGTCCCATGTGACTGGGGGTCACAGACTCTGCCTTTACCATTTCTTATGGTGGAAACCATAAGTTATTGTTATTTAGGGCACCAGCATGTGGTGACTTGGTTTGTTTTAACTTCACTGAGGAGTACTTATGTACCGAGTTCAGTCTGGACTACAATATGAAGGATGCCCAAAATTACTTATTCGGGGACATGAGCTAATATGCATGCCCCCTGCCTCTGGGGAAGTGAAATTTAGGAGGGGAATAATATAAATGCTCAAATGTGTGTGCTACAATAACTGCAATAAAAGACAGGCAGCCCTGGGCTTTATGGAAGGAAAACAAACCTATCCAGCTGAGAGGGTCCAGAGCTAAAGACATAGTTCAGTTGTAGAGTGCTTGCCCAGCTTGTAAAAGGCCTGGAGTTTGATACCTAGTACCACAAAAGAGAAAAAGGAAGAGAAAGAAAGAAAGCACCTAAGAAGAGGGAAAATGTCCTTAGAACCGAAGAATGGCAGGTGAGTAGGATTTAGGCAGTAGAGCGAGGTGATGGAGGGCAGAGGACATACGGGCAAAAGGCAGAGTGAAGACAGGGTGTTTAGAGTCTCAGTCACGTGTACACCTCCATACCCCAGCTACCTGCTGTACCAGAAGGGACTCCATTGTATAGGGGACTGGACAAAACATCTTGGGAGAGAAGCTAATTTTTATTTTCCATATATTTTTTTTTCCAAACACAAACCTCCCAGACAAAGCTGAAATGGGTATCGGGAAGCTGAGCAAATTTCTGTGGAAAGACAGCTAGGGCTCAGATGTGTGCAGATGTGTCACACTAGTGTCGTTCAGAACACTCGGAGAAAACAGCCTGGGAGAGATGGTTTTCACTCTGCAGATGAGGAAAAGGACGTCTAGACAAGTTTAGTGAATTGGACAACATGAATAAGAAGCAGTGAGTGATGCATGGTGTTGTGTTAGATGAACGTAGTGAGCCATGGTCCAGGCCCAGAAGTCTAACATGAGAATTTTCCTACATGCTCCGGACTCCTTTTGAGTTCTCTGGAGTCCCTTTGAGTGGCTCGCTTCCCAAGCCAGAGCTGCTTTAAGAACAGTCAACAGAGAACGCCTTTCCCACAGTCCAGACACTTGCACTTGGCCTGTCAACAAGCTATACCAGGGCCCTTCTGAAACCTACTCTGGGCCCGTGAAGAACTTTTCAGACTGATTGTAGGCAGACATCAGCATCAGTGCCGGAATACCTTACTAACAGTTTAGCTGATCTGGGGTCCTATACAGGTTCCTTCCTGTATAATTCTAGGGCTGCCCAATGAGGAGCTTGGGCAAATCTGGAAGGCAGTAACCATTACTCTGTCAAGGTGGTTTTGGACAGATGGAGAAAGCCTGGTACATTCTAACTTCCCTTCTTATTCCTCTAGACACTCAGCTCTCCCTCTCACACCACACTCTGAGGGCCAGCCGTGGTCTGTGCCTACCATCAGATACGGGAATGTGGACCCAGAAAGGTGCTGCCTGCCTTCTTTGAGCCAAGGGTTCTCAGAGGCCTCTTTAATTAGATTCCTTTGCGGGTACCACCTTTTCCACTGGTACCAGGGCCTTAGGAGAATTGCTTGGTAGCTTCCTCTGTGGCCCTCTGACTCTCTGTTCCCAACTTTCACTCCCCTAACTCTTCCTACAGTGGTGTGAATGCTGACGTTCATGATCTCGCAATGCTCACAGAGTCTCTGTTTCAGTTCTCCTGACTGTATGTCAACTGACAGTAGAATACTGGCGTGTCAGAAGACTGTGTCCGTTGCCTGT